GAGAAATCAAACATAAATATAAAAAATTAATTTTTTCAACAAAGAACAAAATAATAAAAATAAAAATTACTATGATGATTCATACATGTTTTGTTAAATTTGAAGATTCAGCAAACTTTTTAGAACATCCATTATATTTACATTTAAATGGTCTTTCCCCTAATAATAATAAATAATTGAATTATTTATAATTTCATTTTCTTTCTTCAAAATTAATTAATTACCAGTATGAACCCTCATATGAATAGTTAAAGCTCCTGAAATGGAAAATTCGCGACCACATGCAGGCTCTGAACATTTAAATGGTTTTTCTCCTGTGTGAGTTCTCATGTGTTGTGTCATAATGTTACCCTCTGAGAACCGTTTTTTACAAATTGTACATTGGTATGGTTTATCACCTACACACATATATTATTGTTAATAATGATAATGATTGATAATAACAATAAATATATTAAAAAAAACATGTACCGGTATGTGTTTGAATATGTCTCATAACTTTTTAAAGATGCCTGACTGTATCAAATGTTTTATAATAATGATGATCATGTTGCAACACTATGTATAGTTTTTATGTAATATGTAAAGTTGTAGGTATTTTGCAACATTACAGCTTTGTTGCAACAAAAGAGGCTGGTTGTTGCAACATTGCAACATTTGATATTTGATTACAGAGGACAAGCTTAATTGGTGTAGTCTTGGATTCCATGCAATTGCTCTGGCAATTTTTTTTTTAAGTATAATTAATTATATGCTATCTAATCCTTTCCTTGTGTGCATGAATGACACATTTATCCTACTGTTATGTATGTATATTACAATGTTCATGATGGTTATGCAATATATGCGATACTATTGTTCTTAAAATTAACAAATCATCACCCAAGTAGTAATAATAATACCTAGACTATGCAGAAATCAAACCTTTTAAGGAACCAGTTTTGGAGAAGCCACATGCACAAGTAAAGATGAGAGAAAATCTGACAGAGTGGTAATTTTTA